TTAGAAGTTTGGGTGTAATCTGCAACAAAATGAAAGGTTTGGGACCAGCGTTGCAATTTTTTCGAGTCAAAATTACTGTTGGAACGTTGACTGACGGCTTTATGGACGGAATTAAAGGCTTGGGACCGACGCTGCAACTATATATAAAGGTTTGGGACTTCGATCGCAAAAATAAAAGGTTTAGGTGTAATCTATAACAAAATGAAAGATTTGGGACCACGGCCGCAATTTTCCCTTAAAAGAATTACGCTAATTTAATGAGTAAATAAAAAGTAATTAGTTTACAAAAATGTGGACGACAACTCTTTACGGGTTGTATTTTTTAAGAAATTACAACTATGACGAGTCTGACTAATAAAGACGTAAATAATTAAGTCAAATAATTGAATAAATTTGGTAAAGAAAATAAATTTGGCGTGTAGTTTTTTGGTGGTTTTTTTTAGGTGGGTGGTTGTTGGTGGGTGGAGATGATGATGGTGGTTGTGCAGGTGTGGTGGAGAAATGACAGCTCCGACATGATGTGGTGGTGGCAACGGAGGGTTTGGGGATTTTTTGGTGGAGATGGAGATGGTGGTTGGGATTTTTTTGGTAGGGGTGGTGGTTCTGTTTCTGGTGGTGCAGGTGGTAGTTGTGGTGCTCGGGTTGGGTTGGGTTGGGTTGGGTTTTTATTAATATTAAATTATTTTTGTTTTTGGTTTTGATTTTTAATTATTTGTTTGAGACTCATTTGTAATTTTTGAAAAATTTGAGCTCATGGTTGCAATTAGTTCTTTATCGTTTTCTTTTTGTTTTATTTAAATAAGAGGATATATTTATCACAGATTTTTATAGAGAAATGGATGAAAATTAAGCAAAATGATGTTTTCGACAATGAAAAGTGGTAAAATGTGTGAAAATGTAAAAAAATTGAAAGCACACTATAGGCTAAATGTAGGGACGTTTTGTGCTAATAAGTATATTTGTATTCATTGGATTCCTATGCACATAACGAACTTCTTTAATTGGGACATAATTTTCTTAAATTAATTAGGTAGGAAATCGCCACTGTATATTAAATACACATACTCTACAAAGGATGATTAAACATTAAAACTGAGAACTCCCAGAATATTTTCAACACAAAATGACTGCAGAATTCATGCCTGTGTACTTGGCACTTTTCTTTGGATTATCTTATTCTCTTAAACTTTTATGGATCTCCATTTTAAAACAAAAGTCTACAGATTTGCAGTTGCCTAAGGGAAACATGGGGTGGCCGTTAGTAGGAGAAACACTTGCTTTTCTTAAGCCTCATAAATCGAACTCCATTAGCAACTTTATGCAAGAACATTGTTCCAGGTATGTGTGACTCGTTTGAGTTTTAGACGAATTGAATTGTTCATTTGAGTACGAGTTTGATTATCAAATTTATGCAGATATGGGAAAGTTTTTAAATCCCATCTTTTTGGTACTCCGACAATAGTTTCATGTGATCTTGAACTGAATGTATTCATTCTCCAAAATGAAGAGAGGCTATTTCAGAGCAGTTATCCTAAACC